ACATTAAAACATTATTCTGGTCRTTTTTAAATCTATGATTGCTCATTATTATTACGCATGTCTGTGTTTCACATATATAATAATATTATATATGTATACCTTATGTACCTGTGTATTGTATATAGGTACCTGTATATTTAGTCGTCAATTTGTTTTTATATATTTACTCCTACGAGTCCTACGTACTTTCCGAAACGTTTATGTTCGAATTCATCTATTAATAACCTGCCTCGGTGCCCAAATAGGAGAGCAGTGACGTTGAACACGTGTTATAATAACCGKAAGTATATAGGAAACATAAATATATATATATAATAGATTATTATACACTTACAAGCTACAGAAAATGTATTACACATATCATACATATCTAGCCATAACTCCGTGTGGTTTATTTTTCATCTTTCACTTAAAAATAATACATATTATAAAATATAAATCATATGAGAAAATATTTATTTTCAACATTAATTCAGAAAATCTGCAATATTATATTATATTTGATCCATTTAGCCGTATAATACATTAATATTCAATATAGGTTTCCCTAAACCATAAATCGATTATCATGTACATATATATTTAGTATATAATACAGCGTAAGCGAATAATAAGCCAATGCCTGTATAATAATATATATATATTTGAATTAAATTATCCAAAATTAATATCCCATGTGCATTGTGCATATTATCATAATAACTATTTATAGTAATATATTATGGCTTAAATATTTCATTATTATATTCTTTATATGTACGTCTAAATCGATTTAATTCACGGATTTACTAGACCAACTAAATACCGAYACCCAATGTAATGCAAAACTAAACTAAACAAAATATTATTCATCATCAATATAGAAGCAACTATGTTATGGAAGGGCAAACATGAATAATAAAGAGAAGTGTTGCATAATTAAATCATGAATAAGTTTTCTAGTATAAAATACGAGAATAGTTTAAAATAAATAAATATAAAAAGTGAAAACGTATTCATGGCCTTAGGGGTATATAGGTAATTCTATTCTTTCGGTTGACTATTTAATCGAAGTAAAGTTAATGTTTAATGAAAAATATTTGAATTCGTCAAATTTAAAATAAATTGAATCAAATATGCATAAAGTAGTTCAAAAAAAAAAATGTATAATTAGTTTTACCAATTGTTTTCACTGCGACTTTGTTGTATAATATTATTCTGTTCGAAAATGTACGATGAAATTATCTAGAAAACGAATGGCAATTGTTATTTTTAAAAAGTTTGTTTTCGTCCGAATGTTTTGTTTCCCCATTATTCTGTTATTTTCGACTCTGTAAAAGTTCCCTCTGCGGATACGCGCGTCCTTAATGAGCCTAAAAATGTCTGTAAAGTGTTCCCTTTGTTCCCAAATATCCACCATTGTTGTCGTTCGAGCGATTGTCTATCCAAACAACGAGGAAGGGTTGTGTACGCTAATTGTACTATAAGCCTTTACCAGACTGTCTTCGGCATCGCCACCGTTGCCGCCACCGTCGTCATTGTTGCATGCTAAACAATTTCGGCTCGATATATTATTATTATGGCGGTATATATATATATGGTTCCCTCGAGTTCGATTCTTCTTCCGTGGCCTCATTATAAAATCAGGTCAGTATTATAATTATTTGTAGAGCGGTGATTGCATGATGACCATGAGGTCCTATTCTATACTTACATTTTCCGAGGTACCTAAATATTGAAAAAATATATTATTTCAAGCTTAATATTCATATCACAGGGTATCGCTGAAGGACTAACATAATTTCCACCACTCTAGTCACACGACATTTTGAACACCCTGCAACATACAGCGATTTTGGAAGTTTATATTACCCGTAGGTATCAATAATATGATTTGCTTTTATAATGGGTTTCCGTTAACACAGCTATTACTCTCTTAACAGCAGGCGGTGTGTATTAATTATAGTGTATCACACGTCGTTTACCTACAAGTACATTTGAAGCAGTTGTAGGTGAGTGACATACTGACATCAACTACATTGCATACTGCATACGATGTTACAACATTAGATATAATCAGTGGACGGGACGTTACAGGTTTTTTGTAACACGCTAACGCTACAGATAATTCTCTCTAAAAAATAGCTCGCTACCGCTATCGCTACTTAAAAAAAAAAAATGTAATGCACTACTTCTAAAACTGTTGTATAAATGTAGCGCGCTACTTTTTTGCTACACTTTTTAAAAATGTTCTTACTAACTGTAGGAAAAAACCACAATAAAATGTTAACACCGAATGTGAAACACAAAAATAGTGATATTAATTGTTATAATGTTCAATAATTTTACTGTATTATACTCATCTTATGCTCTATCTTATACCCATCATTATCATAATTTAAATAAACAGATATAATCATAAAATATATTTTAATAATCATCTAAAAGATTGTAGGTAGCGACAAAATAATGATAATTTTCGTTACGCTAACCGTACATTTTTATCGCGCTAT